GACAGTGCCAATGAAACAGACAAAAACAGAAAGAGCAGTTTTGGTTCAGTTCCAGTTAAATGTCAGCCTTCCTTGACCTCAGCCTTATAATTTTTAGAACATAAATGTTGCCTCTCACCTCTGAAGATAGCAAAGCATCATTTTCTCTAGGCCTCTGGTCAAACTGACCTGGAACAATACTGACTGCTTTACAATCTCTGAACACAGAGTAACTCCAGAATGACATGTTGAAATCTAATTATTTACAATGCTATTTAACTAAATTAATGTCTCTAAAGGCACAGAAGAAAACAGCAATTAGGGCAGGAGCAATATTTTGACAGAGGAACCAGCTCACTTAGTGCCAATTATATTGTTGTAACTAATGAAATGAAGATAGGAGAATAGAAAGTTTTCATTCTGCTTCTGAATTCATTTCATAGTTGATGCAAAAACCAACACACTGATCATTTTGAAGATTCTAATTATATCTGATATTTTACATATTTAATCAGCAGAACTTTCATATGAACCAAAGTAGGAGGAAATATTTACTGCCCAGCAAAGAAACGCAATGTGCAACCACCAAGCTTTCAATTTTCAAGTACAACAGAAAATCTGGGTTGTAGGCCATTCAGCATGCAAGGAATTAATGAACAAGAGATTTTCTTCCATCTGCTGAGAATCACTTATGTTGTCAGCTTTCCAGAAAATCAGCAGGGAGAAGGCTTCTTCTTCTTCTTCTTCTTGTGCCATATTAGTCATCGGATGCTGATGTTGGCGATCCTATTTTTATCAACACCTGCATGAAAAAGTGCTGTTGAGTTTTGTCCAAACCAGTCCCTTAGATTTTGAAGCCATGACGTTATTCTTCTGCCTGGACATCATTTGCCTTCATCTTTCCTTGGAGGATTAAGTGAAGTATGACGTATTTTTCTGAGTGACGCATCACATGTCCAAAATATTCTAACATTCACTTTTTTATGATTTTGATTATTTCCCTTGGCTTTTCCCAGGCAGCTTATCACCTCCTCATTTCTGATTTGGCAACCCAACCTATACGTAACAACTGCCTGTAAATCCATATTTCAAATGCTTCTAGCCTCTTCAAGTGGCTTTCTGTCAGAGACCAACTCTCTACTCCATAGAGCAGGATAGAAAAGACGTAGCATCTGACAAGCCTGATTTTCAATCTTAGGCTTATGTCATGACTGCAGAAGACCTTTTTCATTTTGAGGAATAGGGAGAGGGCACTTGACTTATTTCTTAGCCCCTTGCATTCATGGGGCCATCAGTCTCTCTCCTCTAGCTTTTTTCTCCCCTGAGCAATTAACACATTTCCATGCTTCTCTCATGAGTTCATTGTTCAGATGTCATAGAGTTCAATTGGAAAGTTGGCAATAGGTACATAAGCAAATATCTTGGTGGAAACACTGTCAGCCCTTGCTATAGAATGTAAAGTAACTTTAATAATCTGCATGACAAAAACAGATTGTCTACAATTATCCAGGATACTGAAAGATGGCCATAAATTTTATTTCTATGGCTATAGGGTTTTATTACATATGGCTAATTTCTGGGAGTTTATTGTGTATGTGCAGCCTTTGGCAGCTGATTAGTTAGTGCATACTACTTATCCACCTTTTCTTTGAAGGCACAAGTCAACGTATGTGGAGATCTCCGCTATGTTTATCCCCAGAACAGTTTTGTTTGCCAGGTTTGCCAGGGCGAGAGTAGGAAGAAAAAAAAATATTCTTAATGTTTAGATTTACAGAGTTGGAGAGGCATTCTGAGAACTGGGTACCAATTCCAATTGTTGTCCATCTCCATGATATATGCTTCTCATTCTGTCTCTGAAAAAGAGGGAGAGGGAAGAATCTAAACTACCAATTAGCCGAGGGTCTTTGGCCCCCCTTTGCTGAGCTGAAGTTAGAATACTCTTACTACGAGAGGAGACAATGGAAGGGATTCTTTTGCAATTAGAAAGAGGCATTTGGCTCTCCCTGTTCCAAAGAGTGAAGAACTTCGCTACCATATTTTCCCTTTGGAGGGGAAGTGAAAATCCTGATTGAAACTGAGTCTTTTACGGGAAGAGACGGGACCCCACAAGAAAAGGGATCCCATCTAAAATATGGGTTGGTATTTAAAATGATCAGATACAATTAATGTATAGTTGCAAGAATTATTCCAGTACCTTAAGTTTCTCCCATGTTCATGCTGTTTGTTGAAAGCACACAAACAGAGTTTTTAAAGAGAGGGAGGGAGCACAAAGAAGACTCAAGAACAAGAGGCTGAAAAGCTCAGTGCTTCTCTTCCAAATGATCTGACACTCCAGATGAAACGGAACCGAATCCTTTGCTAAGTTCCTTCTTTTCTCCAAAAAGGATTTATCAGTGTATATCAATCCCCTGGACTGACCCCACCACTCTCACCTGGTGGCTTCATGTTAAGAAGGTGGGTTTTTTCCTAGTTTCCCACAGAACAAAATAAATATTGCCTAAACCAATCTCAGAAGTGCACCATTCAGGAATTTTATTCTCAGCAGTGGAATTGGAGGTTTATGTTTTATTTCAAGCGCTCAGCTCATAGCTTGAGGTACATGTAACTGTACTGAGAAAATTCCCTGTAGGAATCTCAAAAAGCCAGAGGCACTAAAAAAAGAATCAGCCAATACAGCCTGAGCCACCTGTGGCCACAGCTGAAAACAGAACTTTTCTTACATTCCCATTTGTGTACAATGTCACTATTTAGTATTAGTGCTATTTCTTCTGTTTATTAACCTGTCATTTCTAATCCAGCAATATTTCACAATTCGTACTTCTTCCACAATAGCAGTTTACAAGGCAAGCTACTATTATTCCCCACTTCTCAGATGGAAATGCACATGGAGGAAGAAGAGTTTATCAAAAGGTGTATCTCATTTCCTTTCCCACAAAATTGCCATAGAAAGCCTATTTACAGACCCCTCGCATCCTGGACATAAATGGTTTCAACTCCTACCCTCAAAACGACGCTATAGAGCACTGCACACCAGAACAGATTTTTCCCGAACACAATTACATCGCTAAACAAATAATTCCCTCAAGGCTGGCATGCTTATTTGTGGAATATTGGAAACAAAACATACAAACATTTCAAAAACCATATAATAAGAAACTCACTAATTGGCACCTGGTTGGAAATTAAACGTAAGCACTATATGAAAGTCCCAGGCTGGATATCTACATTAGAGGCAACAATGCACCCCAATACATCAGCTACTCAAAAAATTATACGATACAAAGAAGTTCTGGACATAAATGGAAGATTAAAATCATGGCAAGAGCTCAGGGACCAGGGTATAGAAATGGACTGGTGGCCGTACTTATTAATACAAACCAGATACAAAAAAAGACAGTGAAGAAGGAGGAGTTGAAATAAAATCTAACCAATTAGATAAATTATTAGAAACCAAAGAGGGAAAATTAATCTCAAAGATTTACAAATACTTACTAGAGTTCGATTTGGCAGAAAATATAGTTAAAGGTCAAATGATAGCTTGGGCTAGGAACATTGGAAGAAATATACAATTGGAAGAGTGGGAAATGATATGGGAAAATAATTGCAGAATAACAAAGGCAACAACATATAAAGAGAACCATTACAAGATGTGGTATAGGTGGTACCTAGCCCCTGCTAGATTGGCAAAAATGTACGCAAATTTTAACCCAATATGTTGGAAATGCAAACACTGGGAACCTTTTATCATCTTTGGTGGCTCTGCCCAAAAATTAAAAAATTTTGGATGAAAATTAGAACCTGGGTAATAGAAATAACAGAAGAAGAGATTGACCTAAAACCTGAAATTTTCTTATTAGGTATACTTAAAAAAAGCAGTAGAAAAGAAATAAAATACATCACGTTACACATAATCACGGCGGCTAGAGTAAACCTAGCCCAATCCTGGAAATTAGAACAGTTGCCAACAGAACAACAAATAATCCAAAAAATATTTATATGTGCAGAAATGGATAGATTAACTTTAAAATTAAACCATAAGGAAGACTCACAGTATTTCCAAATATGGGACAGATGGTATGAATGGATTAATCGATGGGAAAAAAAAGTAAAGTCAAATATAGTAAGAAATTAAAGGTAACAAATATACACCGTCATTAAGAAATTAAAGTTAATATATATATATATTCACATGTTTAAATATTATAGATAGATAATCCTGTTTATTAGTTTTAGTATGTATGTATTTTAGAATTGTATTTTTTAGAGTTAAGAACGTTTTGTACAATTTTTATCTTTTTATATTGAATAAAGTTTGTTTTTAAAATTAAAAAAAAAATAATTCCCTCAACACTGTCAAACTAGTTATTAAGTCTGCATTACTATTAATCTTCTCATCGTTCCTATCACCAATCTCCTACCACTTATGACTGTATGACTGTAACCTTATTGCTGGTATCCTTACAATTTATATTGACTGTTTCCTAATATGATTTGATTGCTTATTTGTTCCCTATGACTATCATTAAGTGTTGTACCTTATGATTCTTGACGAATGTATCTTTTCTTTTAGGTACACTGAGAGCGTATGCACCAAAGACAAATTCCTTGTGTGTCCAATCACACTTGGCCAATAAAGAATTCTATTCTATTCTATTCTATTCTATTCTATTCTATTCTATTCTATTCTATTCTATTCTATTCTATTCTATTCTATTCTACTCTACTCTACTCTACTCTACTCTACTCTACTCTACTCTACTCTATTTCCTAGTTCACTGAAATATGTAATATGATAGTTAAGAGCAGGGGTGAAATTCAGCAGATTCTGACAGGTTCTGCAGAACCGATAGCGGAAATTTTGAGTAGTTCGGAGAACCGGCAAATACCACCCTCTGGCTGGCCCCAGTGGGGAGGGAATGGGGATTTTGCAGTATCCTTTCCCTGCCACACCCAACAAGCCATGCCCACAGAACTGGTAGAGAAAAATTTTGAATTTCACCCCTGGAAGGAATAGAACTCACTTTGCCATGAGGGAGAAGGCTTCAGAGCAGACGGCTGGACAGGGAACAAGTCTGATTACAATATGGCCGAGTGAGGAAGGGAAGTGGGCCTGGGTCACTTTCTCAAATACAGAGGTGAAGGTGTTGACGTCAGCCATCTTGCTGCTAGGCTCCCCTGCTCCTGTATCTAGGATGTTGCCCCCATGAAGGACGAGAATCAGGACACGTGTTCTGCAGTTGCGCAACTGACTTCCTTCCTGGAGAGGGAAAGAAAAAGAAACCAAATGATTTGTGGAGAAAGCAGCCTTGTTTTATGCTACATTTACTGTATGAGAAAAAGAGCAAAGCTCAGATATTATTATTATACTTTGTCATTGAACCTCGTACAGCAAAATTAAATGCCACCTTCAGTGTACATTATACATAAAAAATAAAACGAAAACACACATCCTTCACATGAATTGAAAACCCCTGATATTGCATTAATATTGCACTATACAGTAGAATTCAATATAGCTACTGCCCTGGGATAGAAGCTGTTTTTTAGACTATTTGCCCTTGTTTTTATTGTCCTATACCATCTGCCAGATGGTAATAGTTCAAAAAAAGGGTGCCCAGGATGAGTTGGATCTTTAATAATGTTTTGAACTTTCTTAAGGTAGCAGGAGCTACAAAGCTCTTCCAAAGAGGGGAGAGGGCAACCAATGATCCTTTGGGCAATGACGTTAACCCTCTGGACTGCTGTCCTATCTGCCACTGTGCAATTGGCAAACCATACACAGGTGCAGTAAGTTAAAATACTCTCTATGGTGCAGTGATGAAGATCATCATATATCAGGAATCAGTAGTCCTAGATCAGTGGCCCCCAACCTTTTGGGCACCAGAGACCGGTTTCATGGAGAAAGATTTTCCGCAGACCAGAGGTGGCATTGGTTTTGAGTGCTGCTTGCATCCTGCAGATGGGGCTTTGCTTCTTTGTGCAGCCTGTTCCTGGTCCACGCACTGGGGGTTGGTGGCCCCTGTCCTAAATTATTCACAGGCTCTCACTCAAGAGAAAGTAGAGGGTGGAAAATATGATCACTGCAGAGAGTAATTTATTATTTTCTAGTGCATTTTGCCATATTAGAAAAAGCTCAAGTCTGGAGAGTAAAAGATAACTTGAAACCATCATTAACATCTTTATTGTGTGCTTCTTAGAATCGCTTTTTTATGAGATGGATGGTTATATGACTGATTGATTGATAAATAAATAAAATGTTTAAAATTAAAAATAACAGAGCCAGGGATGTCTCTCTATCTTGCTTCCTCAGTAACAGAATCAAATCCCAAAACATGGATGAAGATTGTGATTTACAGTAGTTAGCTAAATAACAGCCTAGCAAATGTAATTTTGGAGTCAAAGACAGTTTTGACTGCTGAGAATCAAAAGATTTTCCCCCTGATGCATTATAACATCTGAGATTTTGGAGCATGTTTGTAGCAAAATCCTAAGAGTCACTTAAGTGAGATGGGAGGTATAAAAATATGATGATTAAAATAAACATTCTAAAAATCTGAGTAATGTATTGCTATAAATCAGTGGTGTCCAACTTTAGCAACTTTAGGACCTGTGGATTTCAATTACCAGAAACCCCCAGCCGATATTCTGGGAGTTGAAGTCCACAGGTCTTAAAGTTGCTAAAGTTGGATAGCTGAAGCTGCCTGAAGCATGATTCAGGTAGTAATTCACCTCAGTGTCCTCATGGATTTCAATGCTGCCCTGTGCAGGATAGCGATGTTTCCTCAGAGAGGCTCTGTACAACTCCCCTGAAAGACAAAAGAAGAGGAATATTATCTTTTTGCTTTCAATATTCCAATTACCAAAAGCTGTGAAACGGATTGCTGTGTTATTGATGTGAATCTTCAGCCAAGATCTAAACAACCATGGTTTTGTAATTCTGACTCTTCAGCCAGTGAATTGACTGTACTTCAAAGGCACCCATTTCCAGTCAACAGTAATTATTTTGTCTTGTCCTCAACTGAGTTCTTGTAAAAAAAACAAACAAAAAAACCAACAACAACCCCAACAACAACTGGAAAATGCTACTGGTTATTGAGGGGAAGATTTTCTTTGGCTATTCATGAGTGCCTACATTATGGAACAGTGTTTTATTTATCCGTTAAATATACCGGTATATCCTGTCTTTTCTCCAGGAGATCAAGGTAGTATGTATAGCATTTTCTCACTTAATTTTATCCTCACTAGCTACAAAGTAGGTTAGAAAGAATGACCACCAAAAGTCAAGCAATGAACTTAGCTAAATGCAGTCTGAACTTGGACTTCCCTTGCTTTGATAGTATTGCTGTTAACTACCTTTCTTCACAATCATCTGAAAGCATCAGTTGTCACCAGTTCAATTTATGACCAAAACAACATAGCATTGTTTGCTTTATTGTTTCAAACCAACAAATGACCTTACTTAGTTCATGTAGATGTTGAATAACATAGGATAGAGAGTTGTGATCTGTGGCATCCCACAAAAGAAGGCCCTAAGGAGCAACCTCTCCTCAACCAACACTGGTTGAGTCCCAAGGAAATAATAGAACTATCATAAAATAGTACCCCTACCATAAAATGGTACCCCAACCTCTAGAACTAGTCCCAAAGGATATTATAGTTAACAGTATCTAAAGCTGCTGAGAAATCAAGGAGCACAAGGATGGATGCACCATCTCCATCCTGACTCTATCACAGGTAATCTACAAGCTTAACCAAGTCTGTCTCCATACTAAATTCCATCCTGAAACTCAACTCAGTACAGATAATCTGCTTCCTCCAGAGTTCGCATCAACTGCATACCAAGTGCAGTTTTCAACAATCTTCCTTTAAAAGAGAGACGTTATTTAAAATCATTGGGTTAAAATATGGCCTCTTGAGAAGGGGATGGACTATTGCTTTCTTCAAGGAGGGGATACTACCCCTTCCTCAGAAACGCTGACACGATAGAAAGCATTCATAGATCGCCTCCTTGGCTGCTTTCAAACCTAGGAGGATCCTCGGTACAATAACTAGGTGGCTAAACTGACAGCACAGAGAACCCTGTACATTTTCTCAGGAGTCACTGGTTCAAACGCATCCAAAATCACATCACAAGACTGGGCTTTAGCTTCCATGACCAGATCTGCCCGTTGGAGTTGATCTCTTTATTCACCAAGTAGCCAGAACAGTTCTGAAGATATATTTCTGCCACTTCTATCCCTCCCTACCCAGAAGAGACTGGGTCACTCTGAATAGGGCTTTCAGCCTGATCCCCTAGGTCTTCCTTATTTATTTATTAATTCAATTTATTAATTCAATTTGTATGCCGCCCCTCTCCAAAGACAGGATGGCTCTTGATGATTCGATGTCAATTGGTGCCAATTTTTTGGAGATATCTATAACAATTATTGGAAAAATACATTTACTCACATACTTATCAGCTCTCCACTGTAAATTAGGGAGTGACCCTAATGGTTTGAGATTATGTATTTTCATAACAGGGATGTTATTAGTCATGATTAATGTCAGTATTATTTTTAATTTATTGTATGTCTATTGCTGGTCGATGACAGTAATAAAGTTTTTATTATTTATACTCTTGATGATTCAAACAAAAGATCAGATTTTTTTTTAAAAAAAGAAAGCAGATGATGTCCTTTTTTTAGAATCAGTCTACAAATGTGACAAATGTGAGAGATAAACTCAAATTGTCCCAGACACAGATGGCAGTGTAATCAAAGAAAGCCATTGAAAGGGCTAGTACATGGGGGTGGGGGGTGGGGGAGAGCAGGAGTGTAAAGAAAACAGAAAAATTTCATTACCTGCTGAAATGAAGCTGATTATATGGCAAATTATGTTTTTCTATTTGCAAGAAAAGCTTTAATGAGGAAAAATTATAACCGAGGCTTAGCGGGACTCAAAAGAACTTCTCAGGTGAGGTTTCAGATTTTTACCAGTTTTCCATGGCAATCTTATTTATACTGCTATTACTGCAATTCATGCTAATTACATCATTAAGCAAACTATGGGAACAAAGGAGGTAAAAATCAAATCTTGCACAGAAGGTGACATTCAGCATACATAATGGCTCACTATTCAAACAGCAAGGGGTAGGTGGGTGTTGATTGGTTGTATAATTTAACAATATAGATTTGAGAAAAATCTGCATGAAAATTGGACATATTTTGAAACAAGTTAGAAATGGCAAGATGACAGAAAATCCTATCCACCAAGATTTCTCCTATCTATATTTACCACCAAGAATCTTGTGATATTTTGAAATCTAAGCCACATACTAGGATCACAACGTTCATGGATCTAGAAAAACTTATGATGTATCAAATCTGTTACTCTTTAAAATGGCATAAGACTCCTGTTCTACTCCTACCTCTCCTAAAATTGCTTTGCAATTCTTTGACTTTCTGTTCTGCCCCAGCTTCGGATTCCCAGAGAATGTGACACACACCAAGCTTCGCAAACACTGTTTAATTCCAAACAAACCCCTTTCAAGAATGCAGGCTTCCCGTGCAAAGGGTCCTTATCAAAGTTATTAAGAACAAAGTCCAACAAAGGTTGGCAACCAGCCCAGAAAACCAGATATGAGAAGTTACTCGCTCTCCAAGATGCTCTGTAGTAATGAGTGCGACTTAAATAGGCTAAGGGAGTGGCCAATTATCCTCAAGCCCTAATCTCGAGTCCTAGCCTTCTCCTGAGTAGCCACTCCTGCCTTTTGGTAGCCCTGCGTGCCCGAACATTGAGGAGAGGCTCCTCCACTTCGCTCTCTCCACTGGAAGGAGCCTCTGGAGGTTCTGAAGGCCCTGGCTGAGTCTCTGCCTCTGGCATCACATCCTCTTCGGCCTCCCTGCTGTCCGACGCGAGCGCCGGCTGTGCTGGCTGCTGGCGCAACACCACACCAGCTTCCTCATCGTCGGGATCAGCCACGATCCGCGCAGGCCGCTGGCAGGCCACAACACTTTCCAAATGGGTTCTACAGTATGAACATTTGAAGGGGAAAAAAAGCACCAAAGGTTTTGAAAAGCAAAGCGTAGGGTAGGGGTAGGGACTCTTGAAGGGGTATGGGGTAGGGTTAGGGTTGTTTTTTTTAAATAAGGACTAATGTTATGAACTCCAAATGAAGATTGAGCTGTAGAAATCCCTTAAAATTGCCTTGTTTGGAAAGTACATATTAATACTAACACTGCCCGGTTCTTCATCAAGTAGGGGAAAGATCTCACTCGTTTTTGCAAATTAGAAGAATCTGCTTGGTTAATCTAACCTTCATGAATATCATTTAAAAAAACAAAACATCCCTACATCCCTACATCCAAAAGAGCCCTACATCCTCTTTTGTCCAAGTAGCTAGCTAACAACCCTCAGAGAAACCCACAAGCAGGATATGAGAGCAATAACTTCTTCCAGTGTTCTTTACTAAAATATGTCTCTGATACTATATGATGACTGGCAGCTACTGACAGCTCTTTCTGCTATGAATACAAATGACTATAGAGTAGGTGGCTATTACCACATATTGTGCAGTGAATTACATAGATTGCACACTGTATGAAAAAGTTCCTTTTTTCTTATACCTTTCATTCAGGTTCACTACATAAATTCTTTTATTAATACTTACAGTGTTCTGGCCAATCAAGGTGGAACACTTAGTCCAAGGTACAACTACTCTATCAGAGAGTTAAGTTTGTCCTAAGGTCCAATCGCAACCGTTTTTGGCTCAAGCGTCAGCTCCTTATCTCATTTCTGTCAAAAAAGAAAGAATCTAAACAATCAGATGAGCACTAGCATGCATACTACAATATGAAACCAATGTGATTACTTCTGGATCGAATGTGTTCACTTGTCCTTAGCCTGTCCAAAAGACCAGATGATTAAATTGCAGGGGCATTAAAAAAAGAGGGATTAGATATCCTGAATCAGAAAGTGGAGATCCAAATTAATATTACAGGGTGAAATTAGATACTCCAACTTCTAATGCAACTATAGATGACCAAGCATTCCATTACTAACATTACCAGAAAAGATCTCTGATATGGAGAAGAAGTGTAAGATGCCCAGAGTCACTTGGCTATAAAAGATGAATGAATGAATTAATGAATGAACGAATGAATGAAAGATCTAAGCTGCTGAAAGGTAGCATACTTCCATTATTGAAAAGGCTTTTTAGGACTGACAAAGCCACAGGCAACAAAATTGTCCTATGGGTTTCTGCCTCAATAAAATCCTCCAGTTATTTGGATGAATTTTAATTGAGTAAAAGCAAGGGGATCCATGGAAGAAAAGGTAAACAGCCATTCACTCTCTGATTAAACGAGACTAATCTGTGCTACAAAGGAACAAATGACTGAACCAATGCCCAACATGAAAAACTGTTCAGACTCTGATCCATTTCCCTATTTTACATTATCTGGAAGGAACAATTTAGCACTGGCTATGATTATTTACTGAAAAAGAAGATTCAAACTGGAAAGCTCCTACCTACTATGAATGCCATAAAACCCCATAGAAGTTATTCTTAATTGGTTGTATGTTTTGATCGCTATGGGGAATCTTGTTGGAACTTTTAGAAAACAAGACTGTATATATTAGATTATATACTTAATTTCCTATTTTTTCCTATTATTAAATAAACAGACAAATTTTAATGATTATATAAGAACTGACATGAATGCATAAAAGATGCATATTCCTTCCTATATTCATTTTTTAAATGAATAATTAAAAAAAAATACAGTATGCATCTGTTCAGATTTTTTTCCCAGTAAGTGGATGGTAGCTCAATCCCAATTGAGACTACTATATGCAGAGGCTATGGGGCAATGTGCGCTCCATAAAAATTCATGTTCTGTAGTTCAGCTCTGCAGTCCTTAAAGAAAGAAGTGGTCTGGAGCCATGCATGTACTTACTCTATTCCCTTGTTATTTCCTAGTTCTCTCATTCTGTATGCAAGACAACAGCCACTGGGGAATAAGAGACACCTGGCATTGTAGGACTTGATGGAAATACTGTACCCTAAGAGGTATTTTCATTATTCTGGTTCAGAACTCTCTAATTAAAGGAACTCTCAACTTGCTATGTTTCATAGCAAAAATAACTTGCAATCTGAAGATACATATTTGAAAAGCTAGTTTTAGTAGGCCCAAGAGATTGAGGCTGAGACATTTTTCTCTGTCTGCTTTGAAGCACAAATTACATTTTGAGAGCTGTCCCTCCTGTTTGAAAATCAGTTATTAGAGAATGCTGGAGTGATAGGTTTTCTGTTTAAGAAATTTAAACTGATTTCATTCCAGATCATATCATATCCCAACTACAGAGTGGAATGTTTTCTGGAGAATGCTCAGGAGGCAGTTCCTCTCCGTTTTGCTTATGCCAATCAAACATTCAACAAGAAGAGCTTTTAAAGGCATTTGAATATAATTGCTGGAGATCAGAAGAGATTGCTTTTTTCGATACAGGAGACAGTGTGAACAAAAAATAGCTTGTTTTCCTTGAGATAGGCACATGTTTAGATTGTGTTTTCAACAGAGTATTACATAATACAAGTTTAATAAATAAAAAAATAACTCAGATAGCCTTTGGCATCACAGTTACTAATACAAAAAGGATTTGCCAGGACAGCGTCCATGATCAGCCATGAGATGGAGAACATTTTAATGCTTCTTTGACATATATGTTTCTACAATGTCCTATACTTACCAAATTTTGGGAGAAAGTAGTGGGTTATATAAATAAGATTGTGCAACGAAAACTAACATTTTCAGATAGTTTAGGCAAAAAGCAAAAATAAGGTGGGTTCTTCTTTAGAGAAGGATATGGGTCGTTTCAGAAACCTATCAAGTATTTACTGGCCTGGTTTCATGCAATATACAGTAATGGCCAAAATTGTGGAAACCTTTTGGGAAAAGTGTATTTTCTAAAACTAGCAAATAACACCACTTTTTTTTGGAGTAGTACCATAAAATTATATATCAATAGGAAGATAATTTAATCAAGTATGTAATGCAATAACTTTTATGAAGGATTTGCTATTAGAATAGCAGTTACAGTATAAAGAAGAAAAGTGAAACAGAAAGAAAAAACAAGATATACAAAAATTATCACGTCAGTTAATACTTAGTTGGGTAACCATGAATTATGAAGCATGAATTATGGCCTTACAACGTCTTCCCATGGAGTGAACCAAGTCTTTTAGTTCTACAGCTGTTATAATGGGAAACCAAGATTGAGTGATTACTTCTATTAACTGGGTTTTATTGCTGGGTCGCTTTTGACCAGAGGTGGTATTCAGCTGGTTCAGACCAGTTCGGGCGAACCAGTAGTGGCCCGCCCACCCGCCCCGGCTCTATGCCATCCTATTTAGGCAGGTTTTGAGGCTAGGCGCATGCGCGGAAGCGGAAGGCCGAGCGCACGCGCACTCACATTTACGAACCAGTAGGGAAAGTAAGTGAATACCACCCCTGCTTCTGACTAACAAGTTTCTTTAGTCGCCTCCATAGATTTTCAATTGGGTTAAGGTCTGGGCTATTCCCAGGCCATTCCAGCAGTGGAATATGATTATCTTGAAATCCCCCCAAAAAGTTAGCCATCAAACCTCAAAAATACACTTTTCCCAAAAGGTTTCCACAATTTTGGCCACTACTGTAATAAGCAAGATATAATAGCGTAGGTTATTTTGTATGAAGACAACCAATTGTACTTCATTTAATGAATCACAATTAAACAAGTTATTTACTTATTTATTTACTTTAATGCAATATGTAGGCCCAGTCATTGCATCTGAGAAGGATAAAGATCACTTGCTATCCTTGCTTACATTTGGCACGGAGTAGCAAGAGATAATGGCTGAAAAAGCGTATGCTGCCTACTGTAAAAGGCTACAGAATGACGGAGTCCATAAGTAGTTCTGGAAAATGACAGATGTGCTTATCTTTCATCCCTGAAGAATTTGCCAAGATGCCTTATTTGATCAGAGCAACTAAGTACATTCAGGCTCACATGGGAACGAAAAATTGGGCCTCAACACCTGAATAATCTCTTTCAGAACTGTTTTTTAAAATGCCAGCATCTGAGGAAGTGCCATCGCAGTAAAAGGAGAGAAAGAAAAGAGACACAGTTCCCATTTTCACATTCCCATAAAAAGTTGTCAGTTTTTATGCCATCTGTTGCACTGTTGCTAACTGTTTATAATAACAAATCTGTTACAGAGAAATAAACTTAGGCATGGCTGCTGGCATATGCTTCCTATTAGCAAGTGATCACAAAAGTATTTTAAACTAGAAAAGGATTGAGATCCTAGTAAGTTTTGTAAAAAAAAGAAAATGCCATACAAGAGGGCAATATATTTTAATGAGTATTAGGGCAGAGTTAAGTTTACCTATTATTTGCACTTTTAGACAGTACAATAAACCTTAAATATGGAAATACATTTTAAAAGCTCCAGGACTCACGTTGTTTTTCATGTAGAATACCGGATGAGCAAAAAGTGGGGTCTTCACCTGTCAAAGACAGGAATAAAGGTGTTAGGTTTTATTCATAAATACCTATGTTTTCTATAGATTCATTCAACTGTTACATCAACAATCAGTACCCAACCCCAAGACCCAAATTCATCCATGCAGCTCACATTAAAGATGGACCATTGTGGCTTCCTCTAATTTCATCCATCTGTCCTCCATCTCTGCTTCCTTTCAGCAGCATCAATATATGGATAATGGCTTTAAAATTATGTTTACTTTGCTGGCATAACTACGATAAGTTTTATAGTGAACCAAGGGCAAGCACAGGAAAGCATTTCTGCTTCTTCTCTCCTGATGTTAGAATTCAGGGTGCATTATAGAGCTTGTTGGAATCAGCTATGATATCTGAACTAACAGGAAGAAGAATAGCTTTCTACCATGTCTAATTAAATGTAATTCAGACACAAAACACCAATCCTTGGCTAGTAGATCTTTAAAAAACAAATACACAGAAAATAGGATGATTAATGGTATTAGTCACAATGGCACCTCTCAGTACAGAAGCAGCATATCACTGAACATCAATTTATAAATGATGTGGATTAAGAGCATGTTATTTCCCCAAATTTCTTGGGTGTTTTTATAGCAAGACTACAAAAATACAGAGTGCACAAATACAGAAATAAACAAAAAGGGTCTGGTGGCTCAGCAGACTAAAAGCATTGTGATTAACACCAGCTGTCTGCAATTACTGTAAGTTCGAATCTCACCAGGCTCAAGGTTGACTCAGCCTTCCATCCTTTCTAAGGTAGGTTAAATGAGGACCCAGTTTGTGGGGGCAATAAGCTGACTTTGTATAAATATACAAAAAGTATGAAGGCTATTGCTTAACGCATTGTAAGCCGCCCTTAGTCTCCGGAGAAGGGCGGCATATAAATCAAATTAAAAATAAACAAACAAATAAACAAAAGACAATAAATTACAAAACAACCCCCAAACCAAACCTGAGGAAAAAAAGGGGGGGGGAATTCCAAAGGTAGCAATATAAAACATCTAATATATGTCCTGTGTATATTAAGCATATAGAAATCATTGCTTATTCAAACATCTCATTGTAATAATATATTGCTATCAAATAGAAAGAATAAAAGTTACCCGCTCTATTGTTGTAAAATATAAAATGTGAATCATAGAAGAACATATTTCCATAATTCCATAATTTCCAGATTTCCAAAAGCTGTAATTAATATCTGGAATAGTATCACTATTCAAATTTCTCCAGCAACCCATCTAGTCCTTCTGTATCCTGCAAGTGCTAGACCAATGAAGCTCCCAAATATTTACAGGAGGGAAAAATTCTAGTGCTTTTCACTGCTGCATTCCAGAAGTTATTACTTAAGATATGCTACTTCTGATTTAATCATGAAGATTTCTGGGCACTGATGGCACAATCCTCCATGTCTTTGTCCAGTCCCCCTTTAAAATAATCAGAACTGGTACCATCTTCCAAATACATTTCAAATATATTTCGAATACAGCTCATCTGCCTGGAATCCACACTGTATATCAGACATTAATACGATTGAGCGGGTCCAGAGCTATTTCACGAGAAGAGTACTCCACTTCTCTACTCACAATAGAATCCCTTATGCTACCAGGCTTGAAATTTTGGGCTTGGACAATCTGGAACTGCGCCACCTGCGATCTGATCTAAGCATAGTACACAAAATTGTCTGCTACGTCTTATGTGTCAATGACTTGTTTAGCTTCAACCTTAATAGTACACAGGCAAACAATCGATACAAACCAAAGGTAAACCACTCCAAACTCGATTGCAGAAAATATGACTTCAGCAACAGAGTGGTCAGCGCCTGGAATGCTCTACCTGACTCCATTGTTACATCCTCAAACCCTCACAGCTTCAACCTTAAACTGTCTATCGTGGACCTCACCCCATTCCTAAGAGGTCCGTAAAGCAGGCGTGCATAAGCGCACCAGCGTGCCTACCGTCTCTCTCCTACTGTCCCCATTTATTTGTATTCATTTCCTTCATTCATGTCCATGTTCATATTCATACCTGCTATCTTGTACATGTTTGACAAATAAAATAAATAAATAAAAAATAAATATTGGAAGCAAACTCCCCAGCTTAACCATGCATTAATATTGCTACCATACTCTGCTCTGTCATAATATACACATATTGTTGAGTGCACTACTCTATACTTATATAGAATATTGAATTGCCAGGTGAAATAGTTTGGTCCATTATATTAAAAAGATTCCTCTTTTTTTTCCAAATGACAATTTAAAAACTGCAGTGTAAATACAGAAGATTCCACGAAAACACAAACATTCAAACTGAAAAGCAGATTGAACACTAAAGCAAATTAATTTTGTTCAGGGGATTAAAAAGGTTTTCAGTGTAAGTATTTGTGGCAACTACAGCAAGCTGGGGGGGGGGGGAAATGTAAAGACTACTAAATGCAAAGATCATCATTAATTGGTCTTTCAAGTTCAGACTAATCAAAATGATCAACCAGATTTTCAGATAAAGCTCACAGACTATGAGACCAGATATCCTTCATTATTTCCAGTATGTGGGAACAAAAAATATATAAATTTGTATCAAGAAAGTTCCACTTCTAGTTAATCATGTTAATACAGTCCAAAAATGTACTAATTTGACTAAAAAACGCTGCTTCCTAACAACTGATTGGTGAACAATCTATGAAATAAGCAGTAATTTCTAGCAGCAATTCAGCCAGCTGTTGATGAATAGCATTAAAAGATATAGGGCCCACTTTGGACAAATAGTTTCTTAAAAGTCTCCACTGAGAAAATAGTGTCTTTTCCAATTGTTAAATTGATCCATTGTTAAATAAATACTGTTAGCAAGTACTTCTAAAAGTTTACAGCTTTTATCCATTGGTTTTAGTCTTGGCTTCTGCGGGAATGGGAAATGCAGGAACAGGAAATGAATATGCTCCATATTTTGCATAAAAAGATTCTTTCTTGCAGTCTCATTGGCTACAAATCCTACAACTACTTTTTAGTGGATTGGTTTCAAGATCTCTCATTATTAACACTAGTTTTCTCACTGTCCTTCTATACATACTACTGTCATGTATGGCTGCCAAGATAGTCTCTCCAAACTTAGGACTTTAATATATATTATTTGTACCTCTTCAATTCACAATAGTCACTCATCTTATCCATATGGCCAACTGGGTTTATTGCTCTGAAAATGCCTTCATGTGAAAGGATTATATGTATGTTGTGGAACAACTTGCCTCCAGAAGTTGTGAATGCTCCAACACTGGAGGTTTTTAAGAAGATGTTGGATAACCATTTGTCTGAAGTGGTGTAGGGTTTCCTGTCTAAGCAGGGGGTTGGACTAGAAGACCTCCAAGGTCCCTTCCAACTCTGTTATTTTATTCTATTCTACCGTGTTTCCCCGAAAATAAGACCCTGTCTTATATTTTTTTGAACCCTGAAATAAGCGCTTGGCCTTATTGCCATGCACTCAAAAGCCCGATTGGGCTTATTATCAGGTGATGTCTTATTTTGGGGGAAACAGGATATGTTGTCCACTTCCCAATGAAATCTGTAGATCTCTCTAGCTGCTTTTCATCTATAACAGTGGTTCTCAACCTTCCTAATGCCGTGATCCATTAATACAGTTCCTCATGTTGTGGTGACCCCCAACCAGGGATGGGTTCTAAAATTTTTTACTGTCGGTTCTGTGGGCGTGACTTATTTTGTGGGCATGGCTTGGAGGTCATGTGACCGGGTGGCCATGGCTATGTGTATAGGGACTACTCAGAGAGCTGAAAAAGGTTATTTCTGACAGATCCTTGCACTTTTGACTGGTCCTCACACTTATGACCATCCTCACATTTATGCCCGTGCAGCATTCTTAACAACCATGTCACTCATGGTTGACAATTGCTTCTCTTCACCATGGTGATAAGATAGGGCAAAAAAAGTAAAATGTGAGGACAGTCGTAAATTTGAGAACTGGTCAAAAGTGCGAGGACCAGTCAAAAATAACTTTTTCAGCTCTCTGAGTAGTCCATGTGCACAAAAGAACTACCCAGAGGGCTGAAAAAAGTGATTTCTGACAGGTCCTCGCACTTTTGACCGGTCTTCGCACTTATGACTGGTCATCATGCCCATTGTAGCATTCTTAACAACCGTGTCACTCATTTCACAACTGCTTCTCTTCACCATGGTGACAAGATAGGGCAAAAACGTAAAATGTGAGGACAGTCGTAAGTTCGAGGACTGGTCAAAAGTGCGAGGACCAGTCAAAAATAACTTTTTCAGCCCTCTGAGTAGTCCATATGCATAGAAGGATACAGCAATAGAGAGGGATGAAGGAAGGGAAGGGAAATTAGAGTAGGAGTGAGGGTAAGAGAGGGAGGAAGAGATGAGGAGGAGGAGGAGAAAGGAAGAGGAAGTAGGAAGGAGAAGAAGAGGGGGGGGGAAAGAAAGTAAGAAGGAAAGAAAAGAGAGAGGTGGTAGGTTTGAGGAGAAAGATTGCTGTACAATAAAAAGATGAAAGGGAAGAAAACCAACCCCAAACAAATATAAAGATATTAAGATAAAGAATGAATTGTTAAACTTTAAAAAATAAAAGAGAACAAATATGAATAAATAGCAATAATTAGAAACACACATACAAACATACAATGTATTTTCTTTGAGCAGAGTATTTGGCCGGTTCACAAATTTAACCAGTGTTTAGTCATTTCAATTAAATTTACAATTTCTATATTTTCTTTTTGCCATATTTATTCCTCATCTATTTTTTTAAAAAACCAATATTACCCTTCATCCTCATCTCTAATCTTAATCAAATTCAATTTTTCCCTTCTATTCTATATTATACCCCTTCGCATTGTCATCTATTTTTATATCCATCCTCACGTTGGTTAATTATGTAATTATGTAATACAGTTGTTTTAACATTCAACATTTTAATATAAATCAGTTATATAACTATCTTTTTTGTATATCAATCAATATGAACATGA